AATAAATACTAAAGAGTGCATTTACACACAGGCCACATGAAAGCAGAGGTCAGTTTCTTAGGCAAGGAGGGCAGTACAAGAACAAAACGGCCATCTGCAGAGGAAAGAAGAAAGCTCTCAGCTCTGACAGAGGCTTCCATTGTATTTTATGAAAAAGACAAGGGAGCGACTCCTGCTGCCAGTGCAATCACAGGTCCTCAGCGGTTTTTGTTTTTTGGTTTTTCAAGACAGCATTTCTCTGTGTAGCCATGGCTGTCCTGGAACTTGCTCTGTAGACCCGGCTGGCCTCGAACTCACAGAGATCCACCTGCTTCTGCCTCCCGAGTGCTGGGATCAAAAGTGTACACCACCACCACCTGGCTCAGCAGTTTGCTTCTTCTTCTCCCATTTTCCCCACAAGCATTGGGAGTTGCAGCAGCTCGGCAGAGCATGAGGCTTTCAGAACACGTGCCGTGGTGAGAACTAGCTCCACGCACTCAGTGTCTCTCTTCCACACAGGCAGTAAGCTGCTATAGACAAGGACAGTCTCCTTCCTGCTGTGCTCTGTCCCCAGCCCAGGCCAGGCCTGCGGGACAGCATCTCACTGATAGAGAAATCACAACAGCTACCTTAGTGGAAACAGTACAATACCTTGCAGTAGGAAGAAGACTTAAAAACCTGGGTAAACACCACCTCTCAGTTAAAAGACAAACCAGGCTTAGTCTCTCTTACAAAACCTTCATGGGGTTCAAGCCCTTCGCTGAATTCCCTGAGCACTGCACAGAGGGCAGAAAAGTCCCCATAGACCAGGCAGAAGGATAGGAGAGAAGGCCAGGGAGGCCAGGTGTGCATTTCACAGTGAACTGATCACATCAGTGACATGAGCCTCTAGGGATGGATGCTCACTTGATCTCAGGCTCTGTCATTCACTGAGTAGCCTCCCACGGGTTATCTGATGAACCTCAGCATCCTCATCTGTAAAATGAAGGTAATGTCTTGCCTACCTAATAGGGTTGTGTTAATCCCAAAGATAAGAGAAGGACCACCACTCAAATCATTGTGGTCAAATTAAAGCAAGCAATTAATTAAAGCAAACTTTTTTATTCGCAACCATAGGCTGCCTTCCCCTAAGATGGGGCTCGAGGAGTCAACCTTGGATGTGAGGAAGACAAAGTTTTTATAGCTCAGGGGTAGGGGGCTTCCAAATGGCAGATTTGGCAGGCAAATAAAGTTACAGTAGAAGAACATCACAACAAGTTAGTCATAATGACCTCCTGAAACAAAGCCATGGCTGCAAGGTGGGCATAACAAGGTAGTCATGACAACCCTTTTGAAGCAAGGGTAGGATTGTAAGATGGTTATTATACACAACTTTCTGAAACAAAGAGAGGACTGTCGTTCCTGGAACAAGCAGCACAGAACCATGTGTAGTTAAGAGGCAGAGCAGAGCCCAATCCTTGAGAAACGGGTTTAATCATAAACAGGAATGAACCGAGTTTGTCTTTACTATAAGATGACTTTCAAGCCTAAGATGGAGACAGACTGGTTCCTCATTTGTTGTGAAAATACAAGTGGATAATCAATGGGAAGTGCTGACTATGCACAGGGCCTAGAAGTTCCAAAGCCCCTAATAAGAGATGCAGTTTGACATGCTATGGATTGACAATAATAAAGTGGGGGCAATATAACTAGCTTGCCCGTGGGTGCTCCTATTCTATGTAGATCCAGGGAAAGAGCTCAAGGTTACATCACCATCACAAACAATGGGAAGTGAGACAATAGACTTCACTGCCTAGCACATGAACCACTCACTGCTGGTCTGAGTGGCAAGAAAATGTATGTAATCTAACTGTCAAGAAAATGAATGCAATCCAATGGACACTTGTTGGGAATGTGAAGGAACAAATTATAAATGTAAAATAAATGCTCAACCATGAGAGAAGGAAGTGGGGAAAAATGTTAAAACTAGTTAAACTACTTTCCATTTTAAAGTTGCGGAAGTGGCCCTGAAAAATGCTAAAATGAAGAAAATGTATTCAGCAGTTCATTTGCATTCACACATTTCTTCAGCTCAAAGGCTTCCCATGAAACTGGAAGCCAGATTTTCAAAAAGACTCAAAGGCGGAGAGCATGGAGAGCATGAAGAGCATGCTGCACTCTTTCCACTGCGGCTGGAGAAGAACTGAGGCCAGAAGACAGAGAAGCTCTGTTGACAAAACCAGAGGCCTTCGGAAAGTCCAAAAGTTACAGAGATTTTGGCTAAAACTCTGCACTTTTTGGTTAAAAATTCAGGTCATGTTTCATAAAAGTAATTAGACAAATCATATCCCGTGAGTTTAAATTCTGACCCATTATAAACTGACATTGTTTACAGCACACTACTGCAGGCCTGGATAAAAATCCACACCACTCCAAACCCGAAGCATCTGATAATCGAGGAAGCACTCCTCTCTAAGGACTGGGTGAAAGCTGTTCTGCATTCAGTCAAGCATTTCATAAGCAGGGTCAATCCCCCATGGAAAGTGCCCCTGACATACATCACAGAGTTCTCGGAAACGGGATGACTCCATGAACATCAGCAGCAAGGACAACAACACGGACAGTTCCCAATCCCTGGCTCTGCAAAGAAGAAATTCCTCGGGGACCTGACTTAATCGCTCACTCAATAAACAAGCATGCTTAGCAAAGCTAGGTCAGAGGACCCAAGAGATGTATGCACGGGCTGTCTTATGAATGGAGTTCTAAACGAGGCCATTTCCAGAAGAGGCAGAACTATTCTCCTCTACCAGAACCCAAGCAAAGGCTGGGATTTGATTTAAAGCACAAAAATGCTGTATTATGTTTCTTCATGACAAATAGACACATTTTTCAAGGAAGAGAATTAAAAGAAACACACCCACATACATACATACAATAATAAAGAAATAAAGAGAGGGTGCAACAGTTAGAAGAAAATGGCCAACTTCTTCCTCACCCTCCCCATCTGAGACAAAAGCCTGGCAGTTTAAAACAAAGGCCTCCTGCTGATGAACTGTCTCAATGAGTTCAAGGCCTGCTCAGGACAGGTTGAAGGGACACCAGCCTACTCGAACATGTGGCTCTGGCAGGCCTTGCCCTTCTCCCCATTCCCTCTGTCTTGCTAAAAAAAAACATCCCTAAAGCTAGCCACAAAGGTCTGTTCCCTTATTTGGCCACTCCTCCTCCTGAGGCTGACTACCAAAGTCCAGCAATCAGAAGCCCCCTTTGGCTCACCTAATTAACATGCCCAATTAAAATTAAACACCTCATCCTAACATGGGAGTTTCCCCTTTACCTTTATAAACTGCTGTAGTAGAATATTTTAAGGTGTGTTACTTTTGTTTATGTTGCATTTGTTTAATTCTGTGAAGCTGTGTTACTGTGCCTGTCTAAATCACCTGATGGTCTAATAAAGAAATGGCCAATAGCAAGGCAGGAGAAAGGAGAGGCGGGGCTGGCGGGCAGAGGGAATATATAAAGGGAGAAATCTGGCAAGAGAGATCGAGAAGGAGCCAGAAGAGGAGGACATCAAGGGCCAGCCACCCAGCTACATAAACAGCAACAGAGTAAGAGTAAGATTTTAAGATTTACAGAACAAAGAGAAAAGGAAAAGCCCAGAGGCAAAAGGCAGTCAGGCTAAGTCAGGTAGTCGGGGGAAGCTGGCAAGAAACTAAGCCTTTTTATACACATGTGCATATGCACACATAAATGTAAAATGTATGTGTGTGTGTGTGTGTGTGTGTGTGTGTGTGTGTTCCCCTGAGGACACACTGGAGGGTGAACTGGCTGACACACAGCACCTTATACTTTATACCTTATGCATTATACCAGTGTTTCCCACTCTTGTCTTCAAGCACATGCAGAATATACCGAGAGAGAGAGAGAGAGAGAGAGAGAGAGAGAGAGAGAGAGAGAGAGAGAGAGTCTTAGAACTTCTTGTACTGATTGTTCAGCTGCAGCTTCCAGCTCACCCCTGTAAAAGCCCCATTCCTGCCTCTCCAAACCCCGCCCTCTCAGAGTACCTCCAACAAAGCGAAGGCTCCACAGCCAGGTCCTGCATTCTTGGCGGCTACTGTAGCTCCTCCCTCAAGTCTCCCCCTGAAGAGTACCATACTCAGGCTTGTGTCATCACCGCTCCTTCTCTACCTCCAGCTCTGGGGGCCGGAGGACTCACCCAGGAGTTGCTTTACTCAAAATAAACCTGTTCTTTTACTTTTTCAATTTGGCTTGATCTGACTTTGCTGCATCTGTGGAGAAACCTACTGTCGGAGAACAGAAAACCCTATTACTGATTACCTACCTAATACCACAATATTCTACATATATTAAACCAAATAAAAATGTGTCTACAAGGCTGGAGAGATGGCTCAGGGCTTAAGAGCTTTTGCTGCTCTTGCAAAGAACTGGAGTTCAAATCAGACCACAACCCATAGAACCATGGAGGAGATACATATATATAGCATGGAGGTCCCTAGGACGACTGAGGCTTATAATAAATTTTGGTTTTACTCAATTACTGAGCAAGCCTCAATGAAACATCTCACTATTAAGATAAGAATACATACTCTATCAAGATGATAATAGAAAAATAAATAAATTTTAAACAATAAAAAAAAGTGGGAATATATAGGGGGAGGGGGAGAACAAGGGAATCCGTGGCTGATATGTAAAATTAAATTTAATAAATAAATTTAAAAAATGGAAAAAAAAAAAAGAACTGGAGTTCAGTTTCCAGTATCCATGTCAGGCAACTCACAACTATATGTAACACCTGCTTCGTGGGACCTGCGTGCACATCTGTACTCACATGCACATACCTACACAGACACACACATCATTTTAAAATAAACCTTCAAAACATTTTTATAATTAATTTCACTTGTTTCTTTTTATTTGGGGAGGGGATGTTGCTTTGATGCCGGGGAATTGAGCCCAGGATCTTGCTTGCTCTAGTGTCTTTTTTTCAGTGTCTTGCCACTGAGCTTCCTGACCCGCCCACCTACCTCTGATGAGCTCAGGCCTGTAGCTCTTGCGTAGCTGTTCCAGGAAGCTGTTGTAGAAGCTCTCCGCCTGCTCCGTGGGCATCGCCAGGTGGAAGTCAGGCTTGTTCCCCTTCAGGACACACTGGAGGGTGAACTGGCTGACACACAGTATCTCGTACTGCTTATCCATCACGCTCTTGGACCAGTGTTTCCCACTCTCGTCCTCAAACACACGCAGATTTAAAATCTTTCGAACCCTATGGGGAAAGAGAGCAGTGAGAGCTACCTGAAGAACCACAAGGCCGCCAACATGCTCCATACTCCATCACTCACAGAAGCTGCGATACCGGCACATTAGTGAGCCATGCTGCATTTCCCCACCTGCATTCTCGGTGATAACAGTCCAGCTTGAGAGGCCTGTCCTGTGACTCCTTTTTGACTGCTGATCTAATTCATAGCAGTCATCAGTGGATTTTTTTTTTCATTTCAAAGTCAACCTAATATTCATCCCTATCCTCACCCACTCTACTTCCCTATCAATCCTAATCTTACTAAAATCCCCGTATACACTCCATACTGTCCTTGGATGTTTATCCTCCAACAGTTACTGAAGTCAAAAGGCCACTACTGTTAACTGGCTAGTACAACAGATGCATGGTGGTAATATCCAACTGGCTGTTTTGAGTTACTGTTCCACTGATGGAATAATACAGAGTTTGTACCAGGCATTCTGAACTCCTGGACTAAGGAAGCGTTTTCTAAATTACACTAACCCTGCCATGTCCAACCATGTCCCATTTGAACACTGCAAATACTTCAGCTGAAAGAATATCGCTGCTTTAAAAATCAAAGAAATAACACCAGATGCATAAATCTCAGTACAATAGCAAGGTACATAAAAATCCAAGACATATAATTCTCAAAAAAAAAATACCAACTCTGCAATAATGGCATTTAGTAAGTAAAATGAAATTCCAGATAGCAAACTAAAAATAATGATTATGAGTATGTTCAAAGACACATACAGCTAAACAAGGCACATAATAGAAGATATGAAAGAGGAATTCAGCAAAGAGGTAGAAATACTGAAGAAAAGCCAATCTGAAATTCTGGAGAAAACAAAACTTTGTGGAAAGTCTCAGCAACACAATGGCCCAAGGAAAGAATAGAATTCCTGCTTAAAGATAAGATAAGGGAACAAAAACAACCCAACAAAGACAAAGATAAAATAATACTAAGGTACCAGTGGGTGACATCAATAGCTTACTCTCACCAAATTAGAGTCCATCCCAACAACAACTATCCTGGACTTTCCTACCCCGGAGTTCTGGAAAATCCCACATCTATTTGGCCAGGCTCTGGCCTCTGACTTGTCCTCTCTGTCTCTTCCTAAAGCCAAGCTCACATAATACACAGCTGATCTTCTCCTTTGTAGTCCACCCTCACAAATTAGCCAGGCCAACACCTCTACCTTATTAAACTTTCTGTCCAGCCAGGAATGTAAGGTTTCACTCTCTAAGGTCCTACTGTCCATCCCTCATGTTACTTATCTGGGATTGGCTATCACTCCAACTCACAAGACCATTACCCTAGATAGAAAACAATTCAGTCACTCACAGTCCCTACCACCAAGAATAAAATTCTATCCTTCCTAGGAATGGCCAGCTTCTTACGCTCTTGGATTCCTCCATTCTCTCTTCTAGACTGCCCACTACATAAGGTGGCCCTCGACCCTTCACATGAACCCCTTCTTGTACCCATTACTAAGCCACTTCATAAGTTTCAACAGGCCCTCCTCCAGGCTCCGGCCCAACATCTTCTGGACTTAATTCTCTCCTCTCTTCAGGTTACAGAAAAGAAGGGATGATATACCATCAGGGTCCTGGGTCACTAGCTGGGAACTTCCTTTATGTCTGTTGCATACTTATCAAAAAATTAGAGCATACTGTCCAAGGATGAGCACCTTGAGTGTATATGCTCTGGCCATACCCAAACTTCTGTCTGTGGTGATATATTGTGTACCCCCAATAAAACTTGCCTGGGGATCAAAGGACAGTGTCAGCCACTAAATTAGACATAGAGGTCAGGCAGTAGTGGCACAAACCTTTCACCCTATCACTCAGGAGGCAGAGATCCATCTGGATCTTTGTGAATTGAAGGCCACACTGGGCTACATAAGAGAACCAGAACCAGGCAGTGGTGACCTATGCCTTCAATACCAGGAAGTCATATGGCAGGACACAGAAAGGTATATAAGGTGTGGGGAAACAGTAAATCACTCTCTTGAGGCTGAGGATTTCATAGAGGTAAGCTAGTGGCTGGCTGTTCTGCTTCTCTGATCTTTCAGCTTTTACCCCAATATCTAGCTGTGGGTTTTTTATTATAAGACCTTTTAAGATTTATGTTACACAGCCGGGCGGTGGTGGCGCACGCCTTTAATCCCAGCACTCGGGAGGCAGAGCCAGGCGGATCTCTGTGAGTTCGAGGCCAGCCTGGGCTACCAAGTGAGTCCCAGGAAAGGCGCAAAGCTACACAGAGAAACCCTGTCTCGAAAAACCAAAAAAAAAAAAAAAAAAAAAAAAGATTTATGTTACACTAGTGGAAGCCCATGAACTGTGGACTGGTGGCTCTGGAGCCCCCATAGGACTGGACTAGGCCCTCTGGATATGGAAGACGGTTGTTTGGCTCGAACTGTTTGGGGGGCACCCAGGCAGTGGGATCGGGATCTGTCCCTGGTCTATGGGTAGGCTTCTGGAATCCGATGCCTGTTGTGTGACACCTTGCACAGCCTTGGTGCAGTGGGAAGGGGCTCAAACCTGCCCAGGCTCAGTGAGCTGGGCTCTGCTGACTCCCCATGGGGGACCTCAATTTGGGGGATGTGGGGATGCGGAGTGGCTTAGGAAAGAGGGCTGGGGGTGGGAGGAAGGAGGAGGGGGTGTCTGTGGATAGCATGTGGAGTGAGTAGAAAATTTCTTAATAAAGAAAAATGAAAAAAAAAGATTCGTGTTACAACTGTCTTCTCTCTTCATCACCTGTCCCATTTCCTAACATATATGGGTCTCCAAAAGTGTTTGGAGTAGTGCTCACTTCCAGAGTTCTCTCTCTTCAGGTAGCATTGGCAGAAGATGCTACACTTATTTTCATTCATGCCCACATCTCAACACTTCAAACTGACTCAAGTTGCTGATTTGACTCTCTTAAAGTGTGTATAGATTATTATTTCTGCTGGCTTCTGCCTCCACCATCTTTGATTCCAAATTCTAGAGTCCACCAAGTCTTCAGCCATTTATTCCCTCCACCTACTCTATCCTTCCATCTCTCCTCCCCTACTCGGTAAGTGTCCTCTCTCTGGCTCCTGGAGCCTGCTACACCCTCCAGGACCCCACCCTATGGGCAACCCTCTAGTTACTAAGACATTTACTCCTCCCTCTATATATATATATTAGCACCCTCCCTGTTTTCTTGCCTCCTCTGCCTAGGAGCTGCCTGCTGTGTCCTGCAGCTTCTTTAAGCCCTTTTGGGCCTCTGTGACCTTGTCCCTCCTGGCTCTCAGCTCCATCCTGGAAGTCTCCCAGCCTCTCTATGCCCTCCTGGGCTTCTCTCTTGCCTCTCAGCTCCCACTTGGAGCTTACAGAAACTCCCTCCAGTGGAGTTCATTTACAACCTTTCCTCTTTTCCTCCACAAACTCAGACTTTAGTAAGGCCTCACTCTGTTACTACAAACAGCTGGGCCTCAGTACATTTCGATGACCTAAACTGGGGGCATGCTCAATTTTCAATGGTGGCAACTTCTGCCACTGCACAAATGATCTGAAAATCTTTTATATCTAGATTTGCTCTCCCCTCCTCTATTTCTTCCTGTCTATACCTGTCCAGGGTAGCTGTTATATAAGGAGACCCCTACCTCTAACCAACTGCCCATGCTAACAGAGTAGAGAAATTGCTCTATATCAGGCTGTCAAAGGCAGATTCAGCAGTCAGTGCTCTTAACCTCTGGGCCATCTCGCCAGCCCCAAGATTTTTTTTAAACCTTATTTAATAAGGTATTAAAGTTGCACCTCCATGTACTCATGCAAGAATGTACCTTATACTGGTAGTCGAACTTCATAAGAGTCATCTAGGTGGTATTAGTTTTAAAAAGACATGAAGGGGTAATGGGGAGAAACTAAGACTTGGCACTGTGTGGCAGGACTGAAGTTCCTAAAGACAGCCAGGAGAGACTACTGGTGAAAGCTCCAGTAAGTTCTGAGAGTCTAAGACAGTGTATAGTCTGAGGATACAAGAGCTTATGAAAGTTCTAAAGGTATAAGAAAGTATCTTGGGCTGGAGAGATGGCTCAGAGGTTAAGAACATTGGCTGCTCTTCCAGAGGTCCCGAGTTCAATTCCCAGCAACCACATGGTGGCTCACAACCATCTCTAATGAAATCTGGTGCCCTCTTCTGGCCTGCAGGCGTACATGCAGATAGAACACTGTATATATAATAAATAAATTTAAAAAAAAAAATTTAAAAAAAGAAAGTATCTTAAGGTAATGAAAAATGTTTCAGATTTCTTTCTTCCTCTATGATATTGTTATATTAATATTTCAAATGTTCAAGAAACCTATACTTAATGGTTCTACCAGACTACTCATGTGGTGGGGTCTGGAGACTGCTCACCAGCAGGTTGCCAAAGGAGATACTTGTCCCTATAACATTTAAATTGATGTCTAAAATACCTGTCCCCTGTGCCTTGGGGCAACACATAGATTAATAGAGATAGGTTAATTTAATTTGTAAGAGCTAGTTAGTTATAAGCCTGAGCTATCAGCCGAGCATTTATAATTAATATTATATCTCTAAGTGGTTATTTGGGAGTGGCTATTTAGGCAGGAAAAGCCTACCTACAAATTGGGACAAGACAGAAATCAAGCAGGAAAGCTAAAACTTTTTAGAATTGAGTTAAAATGAAAACACAATATACTCTAACCTATGGGACACAATGAAGGTGGTTCTATGAAGCAAATTCATAGCATTAAGTGCCTACATCAAAAATCTGAAGAGATCACATATTAGTAACTTAAAGATGCACTTGAAAGCTCTAGAACAGCAATAAGAAATAATACCCAAAAAAAGTAGACAGGAAGAAATAATCAAACACAGAACTGAAATCAATGAAATGGACACATCAAGAATCAATGAAACAAAGTGTTGGTTATTCAAGAAAATCAGTAAGACTGACAAATATTTAGCTAAATTAACCAAAAGCTAAAGAGAGAAAACTCAAATAAAAAAAAAAATAGAGGCGAAAAGGGAGACATTACAACAGACACCAAGGACTCATAAGGACTATCTTTAAAAAATATGTATTCCACCAAACTAACCTAAAACAAACCTAGAAAAAGTTGGATAAATTTCTTGTTATATACCACCTACCAAAGTTAAATCAAGATCAGATAAACAATTTAAACAGATTCATAACCCCTAGTGAAATAGAAGCAGTAAATAAAAATATCCCCAACAAAAAAATCCCAAGGCCAGATGGAGTCAGAATTCTACAAGACCTTCAAAGAAGAATTAATGCCAATACCCCTCAAATTATTCCCAAAAATAGAAACTGAAGGAACATTTCCTAATTCTTTTTATGAAACCACTAACACCCTGATACCAAAACCACACAAAGACCCAACAAAAAAAGAAAATTACAGACCAATGTCCCTTATAAACACAGATGCAAAAAATTCTCAATATATATTTGTAAGCCAAATTCAAGAAATAGCCTACAGAATGGGAAAAAATATTTATCAACTATATATCTAATATAGGGTTAGTATCCAGAATATATATAGAGAACTAAGAAGTCTGAACATCAAGAAACAAATAACCAAATTTAAAAATGGAGTAGAGAACTAAACAGAGTTCTCAAAAGATGAAACACAAATGACTGAGAAACAAAATAAAATGTTCATAATCCTTAGTCATCAGGGACTTGGGATTTTATCTGACCCCAGTCAGAATGGCCAAGATCAACAAAACAAATGACAGTACATGCCAACAAGGATGCAGAGAAAGGGGAACACTTAATCATTGATGAGAATGCAAACTGGTACCCAATGGAAATCAGTGTGGCAGTTCCTCAGGAAGCTAGGAATAGACCAACCTCAAGATCCCAAAATACCACTCTTGGGCATATACCCAAAGGACTATACATTCTGCTACAGAGATATCCATGTTCATTGCTGTTCTAGTCATAAGAGCCAGAAACTAGAAATACTCTAGATGTCCATCAATTGATGAATGGATAATGAAAGCATGGTATAGTTACAACAGTGGAATATTATTCAGCTGTTAATTATGAAATTTCAGGTATATGGATAGATCTAGAAACAATCATCCTGAGTGAGTTAAACCAGACCCAAAATGACAAAGATTACATGTTTTCTCTTATATGTAGATGTTAGCATTTAAGCTTTTGATATGTTTGCTATAATCAGAATATCCACAGAGGTTAGGTAGGTAGTAAGGGACCAGGGGAAAAGAGGGGAATATTCCAAGGAAGAGGACATAGAATATTATGTTATAAAAGGATAGAATGGGGAAGGTGATAAGAGGGCAGGGTAAAGCAGGGAATGTGGACAAGTAACACTAAAGGGTTTGTTTGTTTGTTTGGGCTATCCTGGAATTCATTATGTAGACCAGGCTAGCCTTGAAATCAGAGATCCTCCTGTCTCTTCCTTCCCAACTGAGATTAAAGGCCTGAGCCACCATGCCCATCCCTAAAGGCCTTTAGAAAAGCCATATAAATTATCATTCACAACCATCCCTAAACCCAGTGACCAGGAATATACATTTTCAGGCCTCTATAAGTAACAGGAACACACATGATACAAATTCATACATGCAGACAAAACACATAAAATAAATCTACAAAAAAAAATTTAAAGTCATGTGGAAACCTACTTCTGTAGAAGCTTCCTAAGATATATACATATATGAAAGGAATTTAAATGGAGTTGTAATATAATGGGGGAAAGAACGCCTCAACTAGATACCTTATGGCACCAAGTAAAACGTCCAGGCCGAGAACGGGCTATATCTTATTGAGTTGTTGGTTAGGGGTTCCACAGACCCCTCCAAACATCACAGGCTATTGCCAAGGCTATTGGTTACTGTCCACAACCTGATGCCCTATTGCTGAAGACATCGTTTACTTCTGTCATTGAACATGGAGAAATCAAACGGATGCCCTACTAGAAGCTTCGGCCCTGCTGACTAGCATATGGTGCTGGAAGGTACTCTGCACTCTACTGGAGGAGAAAAGCAATAATCAATATCACCCAGCTACAACCGTGTGACCTGCAATAGCAAGCAGCCTGTAGTATATATTCATGAAATAAGGACACAAATTTTATGGGAGGAACCAAGCACTTTCTGACTGGATTTAAGGCCCACTCCATGAAATGGAGCCCATATCTGACATTGCTAAAGTGACATGAGATTAGGTAGGCCATGGGCCCTAGGGGGAAATCTACTGTTAAAGGAACATAGAAATAAAATGACTTACTGAGAGACATATCACTCTGTCCACAGATCAGAGCATCATTCACTCACCACAGAGGTAGTAATTAACGCACAGACCCAATTGGACAATGTGCGGAGGGTGAGAGAATTTGGAGCACTCAGTCCTAGAATGGGATGTCTTCATCAAACCCCTTCCCTCAAGGCCCAGGGAGCTATACAGAGGAGCAGGCAGAAAGATCCAAGTGTTGATCCCAAGAAAAAGCGTCTTCCAGACACAACAGGACTGATGCACATATGAACTCACAGTACTGTGACAGCATGCACAGGGCCTGCAGAGGTTCAATCAAGACAAAATCCCAGCATGGAGAAGGGCAAGTGGACTAACCCAGAGCCTATTTGCAACTGATATCTGTGGGAAAGGAAAAACCTATCTTCCCCACTAGAGAGTCACTGAGTATATCAATGACACTCCAGGGAGCAGTTAGCAACACAAAACAGACTCCATGGAGAGTGTGTGTGTGTGTGTATGTGTGTGTGTGTGTGTGTGTGTGTGTGAGAGAGAGAGAGAGAGAGAGAGAGAGAGAGAGAGAGAGAGAGAGAGAGAACTTTTTGTTTTGTCCTATTGTTTTAGGATGGATTTTTTTTTAATTTTATTTTTGTTTGTGAGAGAGAGAACAAAGTTGAGTGAGTAGGGAAGAGAGGATCTAAGAGTAGTTGGAGGAAGGGAAAGAATATGGTAAAAATGGATTGTATAAAAAATAAAAAAAGGCCGGGCGGTGGCGCACGCCTTTAGTCCCAGCACTAGGAAGGTTGAGACAGGAAGTGATATGGCTGAGTGGAGAAAGGAACATAAGGCAGGAGGAGACAGGAGTTCAGTGCCCTTTCGGTTGAGGGCTCAGGGACATTCAGTCAGAGGACTCGTGGAGAAAGGATCTGGCCTCACTTTCATCTGAGGAGTCGGCGAGGTGAGAAGTGGCTGTGGCTTGTTTCCTCTGATCCTACAGCATTTACCCCAATATCTGGCTCTGGGTTTTTATTTTAAGACCAATTAAGATTCGTGCAACAGCTATCTATATCTACTCAGGGGTCTTTCTGTTAGTTATTCCTCTCTGGAAAGACACTCACAGACATACTCAGAGGTGTGCCTCACTGGTCTCCTATGAACATCTCAATCCAATCAAACAGATGATCAAGATTAGCCATCCCAGCATTAAAAAAATCTAGACCCAGAACCAATTATTATCCACTCTCCCACTCTACTCCATTGGAGTTCCTAAGGGACTCACTCTATCAATACCAACATCTCTGAAGTATCAAACTGCCCTTATTAGGCATCACCATCTTAGCAGGGATTAGGTTCTGAGCCTGACTTTTACTGTAATAACAACAGGACAGTAGGACAGAGCTCTACTGAGGCTCTGGGCACCGAGGGGCAGCCTATGGAGTGAATACAGCAGGGGGTGCCAGGGGAGGAGCAGTTACAGATGGAGACTGATCTATCGAGACAGCCGGCCTGGAAGCAGCAATGGCACACTCCCTTCCTTGCCCGAGTGAAAACAGTACCAGCTTCATGGGGGCCAGCCCAGATTCTAATTCAGGTTCAGGTTTTTACAGGGCAAGATGTCCACCACACCCTGGAACAAGGAAATGAACCTGAGCTCCAAGCCTTACATGACGGTGAACGACTGGGCATTTTGCTTAAAGAGTACTCAAGTCATATTGCCCCACATTAAAGAGAAATCAGACGGAAGGTGCCCAACATCTATGAGAAAGAAACATTGTCTGCATGTGGGGATAAGGCAAACTGGGGTCCTACTCCACTGCTGACAGTGACCGAGGTTGGGCACATTGCTCTTCCTCAGTCTCACCTACTTGGAACAATGGTTAAAATCAACACAGGCTCGGATCATTAGCACAAATATTACAGAAGTGGCTGGCATGGCCGGCACATAGCACATGACTTAGCAATGACTTAGAAATCCAAATCTTACATGTGTTCCAGTTCCTTCTGTGAATCTTCCACGGATATACCCAGCAACACACAGATGCCCCGTCCAATGGCACTTATCTGCTCTCCTCCAACTACCAGGAACCAAAAGGGAGAAAAGATTTAGATGTAATCAGGCATTGTGAAACATTTTTCAGTCACTCTATGACCATTCTTAACATCACACAACCTTCTTACAATTTCTTTGGTTAAAGTCAGTAAGTATATGAACCAATAACTCCCATTCACTCTGGTTTCTTTCTTTTCTTTTCTTTTTTTTTTTTTTAGATTTATTTATTTATTCATACAGTGTTCTGCTTGTATGTATGCCTGCAGGCCAGAAGAGGACACCAGATCTCATTACAGATGGTTGTGAGCCACCATGTGGGTGCTGGGAATTGAACTCAGAACCTTTGGAAGAACAGCCAGTGCTCTTAACCACTGAGCCATCTCTCTAGCCCCTCACTCTAGTTTCTTATCTGGAACAAATGAGAGCTGGAAGGTGAATAATCTTTAAGCAGGATTTTAGCATAGGATCTTATCTGCAACTTTGGATACAATACCTAGAACTTTCCACAGTCTCATACATCTGAAAACAAGAACACTGATTTCCTCCCCCAGAGATTCCAGCTAAGCAAGACTAATTCTCAGAAAGGAAATATTGGCTTTTCTTGTAAATCAACAAATCTAGTAACACAAAACACAGACAGCATAGAATGGAAAATGTCCATGGCATAAAACAAATATGTTTTCCTGCTTACTGCAGAGGTAAATTCATTATCCATAACACTATGACTTACACGTTAAGCATCACTACAGAAACTGCTGTCATCTCCCAGGATGTTAACAAAGTGGCATACTAAGCCAATAACCTCTAAAGCTTTTTGAATCATGCACTTTGTCCATAAAAAAAGCAAAACAAAACTCTAAGAACACCATGATAATATCTGTGTATGTATTTATAGTCAAATGTACTCCCTACTACCTTTAGCCAACATCTCAAATGTTGGCCCAGTATTTAGACTAACATTCATCATTATGATGGTGAAATTACACCCATATTTTAAGTGGCAACCTTGACCATTTTCTCTTTTTTGCCCAACCTCATTATATTACATTATATTACTATTGTTTTGTTTTGTACTGACCTAATGTTCCAGTCAGGAATAGAAGAATGAACTCTGCCATCTGTGTGTGTGTGGGGGGGGGGGGTTGCTTCTGCTATGCAATAGTATCTGCAAATATCCCTAACAAGGGAGTGTGGACTAAGCTCTGGCTTGTGATCACATATGGAATCACACAACCAAAGGCAGGTGCCACAAGAAAAAAAAAAAACTGGCAACAACAGGTTTCTGAATGTGCAAACACCAAAACTTAATGCAAAACCGAACATATAGTGTGTGTTCAAGGTGCTTCTGGCAGTGCTCATTCATGCTACATCATTGCATCATGCCCCTTTAATGCAGCCTTGGTTCTGAACACACAACATGCATACATGCCAAGCAACCACAAACACTGCCCGAAACACCTCCACCCAGATCTGAGACTATCACATGCATCAGTTGTATTGTTTTTATAGAACACACCAAGTTTTATGCTCTTACAGAAACATCATGGCTTATAGCAAAGTACGACTTCTAGTATTTCCTACTATTATTCTTCAGCAAGTAAGTATCAAAGTAATGAGGCAGGCAAGCATAGGGAACAGTTTAGCAAACTAACTCCACTTGGTTTGGACTTTGCACACACACCTCTCTGAACAATGAACCCAGCAAACTTTTAGCAGCCTAGGACCCCACCTGCATAGACTGCATGTATACCAGACTTATTTGTTAGCTGTGGTGATTTATTTACATTATTACAACTGACTGATTTCTTAGATATTTATCAGTTTGTGTGACACAGATGTGTACTCATGTTTGTACCACAGCACAAGTTGTCAAAGGACAACTTGTAGGAGCTGGTTTTCTCTTCAGGTCCTCAGACTTGGTGGCAAATGTTTTTCCTGGCTAAGCCATCACATGGGCCCTGTTTAATCGCTTCCAATTATGTAAATAAGTTGCTCTCCTTGGCAACTTCTTGATAATGCCCCATTACTACTCAAACACAACCTGGAAAACATCTGGAAACTACAGGCAATGGGTCCAACCACTCTAGGCAACTGACTGTTATTCAGGTCACTCACTAACTCTTATCCTGAACTGTCTCATTAGCTTAAGCTCAGGTATGATCAAAGGGCTCCCTAAGGGAATTTCTAAGACTGTTAGACACTTCATGCAAGTACCAGCCCAGGACTTGGTCCATGCTATACCAGCACACACCCAGGCCTTGGTTTTATAGGACAGGGTTTCACTATGTAGTTCAGTCTGGCCTTCAACTCACTAGGTAGCCCATGTTGGACTCAAACTAGAGACTCCTACCTCTGCCCCCAGAGTGCTGGGATCTAGATGGGCCACCATCTACAACCAAAGGTACATTTTCTGAACTCCAGACCAGCAGGATGGAGGCTTAAGGGACCAAAGCTCAAAATTTAAGTATGTTGGGGATGACCACATAAGAGACAAATTCTCCTCAAAAGAGCAAAACAATCTTTCATCAATGAATTCTCGCAGTTTTCATGTACTTGAATATTTACTGAAATGTTATTAAAGTCCCATAAACTCAAGTCCTATTCTACTCCTAATTAATCCAGGATGATTCCTAAAACCAAAGTTTACAAAGCAACTTGCAAACCACTAAATGGAACTAAAACGTGGACTCCTAGGCCTAAATATGTTGTAGTATTGTGTTCCCCAAAATACTGTGCACGCTAATAAACTTAAGAGAACAGCCACAATATTAAACATAGAGGATAGGCAGTGGTAGCACAAGCCTTTATTCCTAGTATTCCAGAGGCAGAAATCCCTCTGGATCTCTGTGAGTTCAAGGCCACATTGGAAACAGCCAGGCATGGTGACAAGCGACTTTAATCCCAAGAAAGGGAGCCTTTAATACCAGGGAGTAAGGCAGAAAGCAGAAAAATATATAAGGCATGAGGACCAGAAACAAGAAGCATTTGGTTGGTTAAGCTTCAGGCTTTCAAGCAGCAGTTCAGCTGAGAGCCATTGGGATGAGGACACAGAAGCTTCCAGTCTGAGGAAACAGGATCAGCTGAGAAATTGGCAAGGTGAGGAAGCTGTGGCTTGTTCTGCTTCTCTGATCTTCCAGTATTCACCCCAATAACGGACCTCAGGCTTGATTTTATTAGTAAGATCTTCTAAGATTCATGCTACATAAATATATGCTTTAGGTACTTGGTGGAGGAGGGATCTTGGGCTTAGATTTATACTTTGTAGACTCAAAGACGTGAATTTGTTATAAAATGGCTTGAAGAAAAAGATAACTCGAACTGAAACTGGGGGGAGGGGGGTCATTGGGTCTCTTTTGCTGTCCAATCTGCCTTGAACTCCTGGGCTTAAGGGATCCTCCTGCCTCCAAAGTGGCTGTGAGTGCATGTGCTTGCCATAGCATCTGACCTAAAATATAATTCTTCATATATATAATTAAAACAATAGCTAGGTGATGGCTCAGCAGGTGAAGGCACTGGCTGCCAAGCCTGATGCCCTGAGTTGAATCCCAAGGACCTACATGGTAGTGACACTTCTAAATTGTCCTCTGGTCTAGACATCAGTGTCCTGTTACATGCAGAAACACACACACACACACACACACACACACACACTAAATAAATGTCTTTTTTTAACTTAAAAAACTAAAAGTGTGGCACCTGTCGTTTCAATTTTTTTTAATACTTTTCAAATAACTACAGTAGGTATAATAATCATCTGGATCCTGGTTGCTTCAACTAGACTACCACATTCAACCATTGGCTAATCGTTGAACATCTTGGTCCACATTAATTAGTAGAAAAAGAAAAATGTCATCTTGAATTCTGTGGTTTTGAACCATGGCTGAAGGAAGGGTTCAGAGGCGGACATCCAGATGCAAGGGACGCTATGCATCTAGTTGGGATGCCTTAACGTAATTGCACACAAGTGTCAGAGCTCAAACAATAAGCTATTCCTCATCTGTACATTTTATCATGAGCCAAGTATCGTTAAAAAAAGAAAAGAAAGAAAAGATACGCATAAGGAGGTAACTAAAATACAGCATTTCGACAGGGAGTGCGCTCCAGAAATGCTCCTTATGTGTTGTTTGTGCAACAGTGCCTTCACGAACGGGCCCTAGGGATGCTAGCAGGTTTGGCCACCTTGTCTGTGCGAGACACGCGCGCACACACACACAAACAAAGATGATGATGATTATAATGATGATGACGACGATGATGAGGGTTTATGCTGCACCCAAAGCAACGGAGCCTGAGCCCGTGAGCGGCCAAGCACGTGCCGGGTTTTCTCGGCCACGGCGCTGCCCCGGGGCTGCCCGGCAACTCTGGGCTGCGGGGAACCCTCGCACGGAACAACGGGTCTCGGGGGTCAGAGGCTGCTCCTCCCGGGCCCGGCCCCGCCCGACTGACCTGTGACGCTAGCCCGGGTGACGCGCTGCACCACGGCCTTCATGGCGGCGGTTGTGGCTACTGGGACAGGCCCTGTGGTCAGACCTTGCGACTCCGCCGGCAGCGTCTCGGCCGGCGCCCTCTGCCGGTAACACCCGGAAGCGCTCCGGGAAGACCCATTATATTGAGCAGCGGCCCGCCCACGTCGGCCACACCTACCCACCAGTTGGTCCCGCCCATGTCAATCACGCTCACCTGCCACCTATCCATAACCTCGCCCATCCGTGTTAGGCCCCGCCCCATCCACAGCTGAGCTCCACCCTAAGCCCTTGGCTAGTCCCAAACTGCTAGCCCAGACTTCACCATGCCGAGATGACACCTTAATTCCTGCTCCAGATTCTTTCTCCCTCAACTTTGCCCTCAGCAGCAAGCCTGTTGCTAAATACAAAAGGATCTGCTGCTAAAATAGCCACTTAGTTATATAACTATTAATTTATCTTAGACACATCACGACTGTAAATAGGTATATGAGTCCAAAATCCTAATTCCTTCCTAATACAAATCTAATACTTAGACCAATCATAGAATTGTTGGGAAGTTTGAATGAAAGAGACTGTAAAGGTGCTTAGAAGGCTATAGCTATTACTCTAGCAAGTTTTCAATACTAAAAAGTATCTTTGTGCCCAGTTGTAGAGCACGCGTTTACCAAGAAAACAACAAAGAGAAGGAAGAAAGGGAGGGAGGAGAGAGAGAGGAGAGAGCATCTCAGTTACTCAGGATGAAGCAGGGGAGTGTTTTAAATCCATGAGTTGAAGACCACCAGTGTGGGCAATATGATGAGGCTCTTCCTAGAAAAAGAAATGGGGATATCAGAAAAAGTTCACCTATTTCAGAATGTCTTTGCTTTGAAGGCCTCTACTAGGATTGGCAGATTCAGAAAAGCATTTGATAGAAAGCAAGGAGCTGTCATTTGCCCAGAAGACTCCAAGGAATGGTGGCCCAATGTCTGTGAACCAAGCATTCTGGAGGCAGAAGTTCAAGGCCAGCCTGGGATATGAAGTGAGACATTGTCTCAAAAAAAAACAAAAAAGCCTACAAACTAGTACTATTGTCAGGTATCCACCAGAGAAGACTGCTCAGACATGGGTTTAAGCCAATAGAAAGTCCTTATTAGGCAGCCAGCAACTACACTGGGTGTTCAGGATCCCAATGAAGCCCTGACCCTTTTTCAGGATGATTTTTGTTTTTTTGTTTTTCTTACGTGCATTGGTGTTTTGCCTGCATGTATGTCTGTGTTCAGATGTTGAGTCCCTCAGAACAGGAGTTACAGACAGTTGTGAGCCACCATGTGGGTACTGGGAATTGAACCTGGGTCCTCTGGAAGAGCAGTCAGTGCTCTTAACAGCTGAGCCATCTCTCCAGCCCCCAGGGTGAGCTTTTATGCACACACAAAAAAACATACCCTGGGTTGAATACTTCAATTAACAAGAACAGTTAGCCCAAAGTGGAACTACAGAAGCCAAAAATCAAGGTTAGTACATTTAGAGACTTTCCCAGAACTATGGACTTTGATGGATTAGGTCTTTATTTTCATTTTGGCAGGTAATACTGTCTACATGCTGAGTTTTATGGCCTGAATGGCACTTCCATCATGGAGTCAATGTGCAAAGGTCTGGGTGCCTACTGAGGTCTGGGAACCTATTGCAGTATGCCTAAATATGAAATACTGAATGCAAAATTGCCTGTATTAAATTGTCAAAGATAAACCAGCAGCAGCGATGAGATAAATGGGCTTCCCATGTTTCCTGATACTGTACTGAAGAACACAATGGTAATTCTGCAACAACAAAGTTCAACCTGGGGCTAGAAATGTAGCTCAGTTGATGTAGTACTTGCCTACCATGTATAAAGTCGTAGTTCAATCCTCAGTACTACATAAACCAGGGATGGTAGCACCTACCTGGAGTCCCAGAACCCGAGATAGAGAGGCAGGAGAACCAGTTCAAGGATGACCGACCATACAGCAAGTGCAATGCAGTCTGGACTGCATGAGACTCTGTACCTCAATCTAATTTTTAAAAAACCTAAATTAGGAACATTCTACCAAGTAGTCAATTTTTCACATCCAGGAAAAGAAAGTCTAAAGACTGTTTCAGGGTAAATGAGAAGTCAGAAGAGACAGGGGTGTAAAGAGTAATGGGTAAAGGCACATGCTGCCAAGCCGGGTGACCTGAGTTGATCCCACAGCCCCCACAGGTAGAAGGAGAGGACAAGTCTCACTAGATGTCCTCTGAGCTCCACAGTTATCCTGTCACATGCAAATTCATGTCCACATACATGCACACAAAATAAAGAAATAAAATATATGAGAGAGGAGTACTATGCATGGACTTGGGAACATCCTGGCCAGAAAAAAAGGAAAGGGAGAGTTATCAATGGGATGACAACAGTAACACCCTCTGAGTTGATATGACCAATCCACTGAATTCAGGAAAGCACTCTTTATTAAATATGGTTTCATTACAAGTGATTCCTATCTGATTAGAAAGAGAACCTTTCTCTGAATAACTGTCCTACAGGGGTTATCAGTTTGGTTCTTCCAAATTTTAAAAAAAAAAAATCTAGCTTGCTGTCAGTGTAGTATTTGTAGTGCCTACCACAAAAGGGTACCGGATCCCCTCAGACACAGATGGAGTCACAGATGGTTTTATGCAGGTGCTGGGAATTTAGCTCGGGTCCTCTGGAAGGACAGCAAGTGCTCCTAACCCCTGAGCCATTCTCCTGCCCCTGATGCTCTGTTCTCACACTATTCCACTGCCTGGTGTGAGTGGAACTGGTCCAGCAGTTTATCCTACAGTGATCTCTTTAACAGTTCTATCCTGCCAGATGTCACAGCCCCTCAGCTCTTGCCCTTTATTATTCTAGAAATCCCCAAAGATGGGGGGAGACATTTTTATAAGGTACCTGTTGTTATCCCCAACCCTGCTTTATTTATTTATTTATTTTTAATGTTTCCCAAGTACTGAGGACTTAACCCAGGGCCTTGTTTACACTAAGAAAGCACTCTACCAGAGGCACAATCCCAGCTCACCCCTTCTTCCCATCATGCTCCCCTTCCTGTTTTAGGCTGCTTCTTGGTCATTCAATTTGATGCCCACCACACTGTTCCAATATATTCAATTAGTACCAACTGGTTCTTGGCCTGGGGTAGGATAGCCCAACAATTGAGATTCTTACTTGGCCTGGGGTGGGATAACTCAACAGCTGAGATTCTTACTTGGCCTGGGGTGGGATAGCTCAACAGCTGAGATTCTTACTACCATTCATCCCTATGTTCCACAAGGTCTCATGTAGCTGTGAGTTTAAAACACTACCTACAGCCAGGCGGTTAGGGTGCATGCCTTTGATGCCGGCACTTGAAAGACAGAGGCAGGCAGGTCAGTTTGAAGCCAGCCTAGTCTGTGTAGCAAGTTACAGGGTTACAGAGAAAAGACCATGTCTCAAAAACACCAAAAGAAAAGAAGGAAGGAAGGAAGGAAGGAAGGAAGGAAGGAAGGAAGGAAGGAAGGAAGGAAGGAAGGAAGGAAGGAAGGAAAGAAGGAAGGAAGGAAGGAAAACACTACCCAGGGGTAGAGATGGCTCAGTGGTTAAGAGGTTCAATTCCCAGCACCCACATGGCAGCTCACAACTGTCTGCAATTCAAGACCCTCTTCTGAGCTGCTTAGAACCAGTCAAGCATGTGGTACACATATATACCTGTGCAAGCAAAAGTACTAAAGAACGGGTCAAGTCTATCTAATCTAGGAGTTATATTCTAATTCGTAAGTTATCCAGTACCCACTGGTACCTGGTAGATGGCTGCTTTGAATGCCCCAACTGAACATGGAGATTTTCCTCAGTCTAACCTTAGTGGGACACCTAAAGTATTGTCTGATAGTACATGAAAAATATACGTTATATTAGCCACTCTCGGAAAACTTAGCTTATAGAAGTTGCTATAATTTTCATTATCAGGGCCAGAGAGATTACTCAGTAAATCAACGTGTTTGATGCTGTGATCCCATGTGAAAAGTCTGACTCAGCAGCTTGTGTCTAATCCCAGCACTGCTACAGCAGAGACAAGAGAATCTCCCCGAAGCCTGCAGTACAGTTAGTCTAGGGTACCCAGCACAGCAACAAAGAGAGATCCTATTTCAAACAAGGTGGAAGGTTAGGACCAGGACCAGCATTTAAAGTTGTCCTCTGACCTCCACACCCATGCTGTGGCATGTGTCTGCCCTCAGGTACAAACATGTGCACACACAAATTTTTAAAGATTTGTTTTTATTACTTTTAATTACATACAAGTGTGTGCATCTGCATTCGGGTATGTGCACTTGAGTGCAGGTGCCTGCTGAGACCAAAGGCATCAGATCCCCTACAGCTGGAGTCACAGATGACTGAGGTGCCTGATATAGATACTGAGAACTAAACCCTGGTCCTCTGGAAGAGCAGCAAGTACTCTAAACGCTGAGCCATCTCTCCAACCCCATAAGTACATTTTTCAAAACTGAAATTTCAGGACCAGTGAGATGGTTCAGCAGGTGCCTGATGACCTGAGTTTGATCCCTGGAATCACAGTGGAAACTGTCCTCTGACCTCCATGCACACATCACAGCATGCATACACATACACACACACACACACACACACACACACACACACACACACACACACCATTCACAAATAACTATAATTTTAAAATTTTAATGGTTAGCTGGGTGGTAGTGGCGCACGCCTTTATTCCCAGCACTCAGGAGGCAGAGGCAGGCAGATCTCTTGTGAGTTCCAGGCCAGCTTGGGCTACAGAGTGAGATCCAGGAAAGGCACCAAAGCTACACAGAGAAAACCTGTCTCGAACAACAACAAAAAAAATGTAATGGTTTATATCAACCTTTCAGCCATATAAACATAGAAGCCTGCCTCTTGAATTTAATGTGTTCAGTTCCCCCAAGAATTCACTTGTTGCACATTAGTGATTATATTTTGTAAAATCAAAACAAATACATTCTTTCCACAAACAAGAAATGGAAAAAATCAGGGCATCTATCAAGTACTGAGCCAAGTCCTTGTTTTCCGAATTCAGCAGGCAATCAAGATTCCGGTCCAGGCCCACTGGTCCATGACCGCAGATAGTCCATGATCCTTTGAGTAACTGGAACAAAATCTTCTGAATACTTTACGTACGTTTTCACAGAAAGTCCTTCAATGGGCTCATTTATGTCCCTTTCCAGGTCGGACACAGGCGATTCACTCCTAGAGCCATCATCCTTTGGCTCCGCTCCATCACCTTAAAAACAGAAAAGAGCCTCAATTACTAACTTACACACCAGTCATTAAAGTCTTGGGCATAATACATGGTATGATTATGCATATCAGATGTCTATTGTCATTTTCTTTCTTTCAAAAAGAAAAAGCAGAGACAAAAACCGGCACACATGATGGCCGTGTGAACTTTCAAACCACTAACGATCTTCATGACCAAGTACAATTTCCAGTTTTTACACAATGGCTTTATTGAGATATATCTAACATATCATACAAATTCCTTTCACAAAGCATAATTCAGTGGCTTTTAGTCTGTTCGGTCTGGGCAACCCAGCACCACAACTGATTTAGAGTATTTTCAGCCGCTAACGATTACACCAACTGACTTTCGGGCTCCTTCGATTTCCAGCACGTATTTGAAGGTTCAGGGAATTCCTTCTCCACCCAATAACTGGGATGATTTTAATACTCCTCGGTTGGTGTTAAGGCCTTAAACTGCTCGCTCGCCGTACGCGACAGGGTCTCAAGGAAATGAGCAGCATTCAGGCCACTGTCCGAGCCTCTGGGATCCACCAGGCACTTAAGGTGAATTCACATGTTCCAAGTGAACATGGGAACAGTTAGTCAATCAATATATAAGGTCCAGGTGACAATACTTAATAGTTCCTGGAGGAGTCTTGCTCTTTACAGATTCCATTGCCGCAAATTATCTAAGTCCCCGTCTGCAGCAGTTTTGCATTACCCAAGGGTTCAAGCCCTGAAGGTCGCTTCGGTGACTCCCAGGGCGATGAGCGGGAAGCGGCGGCTGCGAGGCGGATCTCGCCGGGGGACCCTACCTGACGCCTTCTGCTTCCGTGTAAGAAAAATCGCCGAGCCCAGCACTGACCAGGCGCCCATTGCGTAGACCACAGACATCCGCCGGTACCACACCGTAGCCTGTTCAGGATGCATGGCGCCATAGGAGAGAGCCACAGAGTTTGCGCGGAGGAAGCCCTTCCAATCAGTGTGTCGCAGCGGCCACCAATAGGTAGCCAGCCCTAGCTACTTCCTGCTCCGCCGCGATGCATTTAGGGACTCGTAGTCCACAGTTAATCCAGGCTAGGACTGAAGGCTTTAATCTACAGGACCATATTTCAGGCGCTCAGCTGCCAGCTGGCGACTACTCTTTATACACTATGTGATGGGGAGCAGATGGCAACTTGAACTTCCTCACTTGCAAAGTTGTAATCCCTGCCCTCCATATGTCGGACGGTATTTGAAATAGCAACCCCAATTTCCTTTAACGGCTGTCACATTTTGGAAGACACTGTGTCTGCATCTTGCTTTTCTCCGATGTACAAGGTCCAATTCTTTGGGGCTCCCTTGGTCCTTTCCCAATTGTACTCTATCACCCACCACTGCGGCTTTTCTTTCTATTGGCTTTCATCTTCCTTCATACAAAGATCTTAAAAAATAAAAGCCTTGGATTTCATCGACTGCTTTTCTTATTCACACACTTCTTCCAGGCATAATTGTCTGCACACCAGTATAGACTGAATAATCCGAGAACAAGCCTGAGGTATTTACCAGGAGTGGGCTGGGTAACCTGCTTTGACTATTTCAGCCCTACCCAAGTTTGACTTCTAAATAATTGACACCATTGACCCTGCATGCTTCTTTGGTGGCTTCAAAAACATTTTCCCTCTTATCTTCCAGGGTTCCTTTTACATTTATGAATGTAGTTGAAAATTACATAAAAATATCCTCTAGAAAAGGAAATATTATATAAACTCTTTAAAATATAACTGATACACAGTAAATGCTTCTAAAGCACAGAGCAGAGACAGACAAAGGAGCACAAATATGAACTCAAAAGGCAGAAAACTAAAATCAGTCCGGTTGGCCTAACATCCACTTCATGGTTCTCTTTCAGTCTCTACTTAGGACTCACTTTCCTCTTCCTGTTGGGGCTGGCAACATGCCTCAGTATGTAAAGATGTAAAGGCCTTGTTGCCAAGACTGATGGCCTGAGTTTTATTTCTGAGACCCACAAGGTGGAAGACGAGAACCACCTCCTGTACAATGTCCCCTCATCTCCATGAGCATGCATGTTCTCTCTCTCTCTCTCTCTCTCTCTCTCTCTCTCTCTCTCTCTCTCTCTCTCTCTCTCTCTCTCTCTGTGTGTGTGTGTATAAAACTTTTTATTAAAAATAAAACTCATTCCAGGTAGTTTGTTTGGTGTCCAGGATAAATGTAGCATTGCTCTGTTGAAGCGTCTTAGGCCATCAGCCATCTCTTGAGGTCCACCTGGGCTGGACTGTTGACATGGCAGTGACCAGTGAATCAGGGATGTGCCCTGCAAACCACACGACAAAGATCTTGCTTCACACATTTCATACAATAGTTCCTTAACATTTAGATGATGAATAAAGATCAAAGTCAGAAAATAGCCCTTGAGGAACACCCCCCAGATACATACATCTCTCTCTCTCTCTCTCTCTCTCTCTCTCTCTCTCTCTCTCTCTCTCTC